GGGGGGGGGGGGGGGGGGGGGGGGGGGGGGGGGGGGGGGGGGGGGGGGGTCTATTGAACTGAAGGAACTGTGTTGGATTTGTTATATCTGAAAGCATTTGATCCACTACTATGATTCTCCATTGATACGGTGGCCTTGTTGGAAGCTCACAATTGCTGGTGACCCTCCAGGTTTGGGGCCATAAAAAGATATATTCTGTTCTGTCCTGTCATCTTCTTTTTAGTAGGGATATTTGTAGCAGAAGAGTGATTGTGATGCTTTTTTTTTTAAATATATATATATATTTTTTCAATTTTTTTTTTTTTTTTTTTTTTTTTTTTTTATTGAAGGTTTTCCCCTCAGAACATTAATGTTAAATATTTATTATTGTATGCGAAATCTTAGTGTCACTTTCCAGTCATGAACTTCTCTTTTGCTGGGCTACTGAAAACCTCGACGAATTTATTGAACCAAAATATGTGTTCGGTTCTTAAGATTCGAGTTTGTAGCCTACTATTTGGGTTGACCACGATCCTTTTTATCAGTTGCTAGCTGGTTTTGTTGTCATCTCTGACCATCCTCCTAGCTGATCCTTGATGTATATTCCTGTTGCCTCGTTTCTTGTTTCAACTGTCGAATTTTTTTGAACATAATGTACCTCTTGACCCGAAAGATGGACGAACTTATAAGGCTTTGTCGACCCCAATGCTTGGTGGCCTTGTAAGATTTTTTAGCCTGCTCGACCCCAACAACTCTGACCTTATAAGATATTTGAGCTTGCTCGGCTACAACAATTGGTGTCGACCCCACAAGATTTTTGAATTTGCTTGACTCAACAACCGGTGACCTTAAAAGATTTCTTCCCCATAAAACGTTTTCCATAACAGTAAGAAAGAAGTTCATGATGAACATGAAGAGCCAAGCTTATCTTAATTGAAAATGCTCTTTTATCCCTCTTCTCTAAGATTCATCTGCTTAAAGATAGGTTTTTTTTTTAATATACATTTTAATATTTCGAAGAATCGTTTTTTTTTTTATAAATAAATTAATGTTATGGTATACAAAGTATTTTTTATCCCATGATTTTGTGGGGCACAAGATATTTTTTCAATTACAAAATAGACTTATAATCTCATTTTAATAAAATAATTAGCTAACATTAAACTTTAATCATACAAAGGAGTATCAAATTTAATTCACTTTTCAAATCTGGAAGCATATCCAAAATAGGGTTCGAGATAACAGATCTACATCCCTTAGGGGTATCATCGGGAACACTAGCATCAAAAAAACATCTCACAACCGAAGAAGGATCTAACTCTAAAACTTCCATTCTCAACGAGTTTGGAAGTGAACGAGTTTGGAAGTGATCCTCATTCTCATCACTAGACGGGATGGAAAAAAAAGTTAGGTCTGGGGGACTTCTAATGAATTAATTTAATAGGATAGAGGCATATATATATTTAATTCTCACATGGTAAGATTAGTTGAAATTTGTCGACAACAAAACCCCCCAAATTACACAACCCCCCCTTGTGCCCACACCGCTCTCACTCCAGCACAACACTTACCCCTATCCTCTGCTTGAAGCTCTTCATCAATGGCGGATCTGGGAAGCAACCCTGGCCAAATGTCGAAAGAAACAGCCCTCCAGGCGCTAAACACCATAATCCAGCTCCATTTCGAGAAGACCCTGGAGAAGAAACGGGCCATAGATCTCCAAAAGAAACAGCTCTTCCACCTCTTCCACCTCTTCTTCATCTTCCTGGGCCTCATCTTCCTCGCCCAATCCCTTTCCCATCGCCTCCACTGCCGCCATTCCTGGATCCCCATTGCTCTTCTCTCCGTTTCCCATCTCTCTTTCTACGTCTCTGTCGCTCAGACCCTCCGGTGCATCAATGGCTTCAAGTACCAGCGCCGTTGCCATAAGCTCACTCTGGCTTTGGCCACTCAGAAGCTCAGAGACATCAAGATGAGGCTTGCCGCCGGTGGAGGGTTCGACGGCAGCCTGGCGGAGGAGGACTTTGAGATTCATTACCAGGAGCCGCCGGAGAGCTATTTGGGTAAGTTCAAGAGAAATTGGGCTCTGCATTTTGGGTTCTTGATCATCATCTATGCCTTTATGATTTCTTCCTCTGTTGTTCTTCTCTGTTCTTGATTTTTGGATTCGGATTAAAAAAATTAAATGTTACTCAATAATGAACTTTATGACTTTAGAAGCTTTTCACTTTTTATGATTGATTTCCTTTTTTTCTTAAATATTTATAATTATATTAAAATTAATATAAGCTGTAATTAATTGAATTTTGAAAATTTGAGGATTTCGATTATAAATATAAAAAAAAAATGGATTTGAACAAATATGATGGTATCACGTTACAATCATATTTACTTAAAAAAAGACATATTTTTTGGGTGAATTAATTAATTATATGATAATGGGCACCCACGATTTGAATTATGAGCAGCCCACAAACATTGCCTTCCATGCTATTATCAGCCCGACAAAATTAATTATAATATAATAAAATTATTGAATTACTAAGTTCACGCCTATAGCGTTTCTTCCCGCCATTTCATGTTAAATTTGATCATACCAACACTAATGCATCATATCCCTTCATAACTCTACCACTAAACGTGTTTGGACGAGAGTGGTACTAACTTGGATGACCACTTGGAAAGTGTCTTGTTGCACCATTTTTTATTTGCATCCACCTCCTTAGCTCATGCCCATTGCGTTTCTTCTCTCCAACATGTCCACGCGGACCTCTATTCAGAGCACGATTCCCGCCAGGCTCCGGAGCATGCTCCGCCCGCCCAAACGAAACGGGACACCCCGGAGATCGTCGATGATCACAAGGTGAATTACTCTAACTCTCCTTCTCTTACCATCTGTTCTTCCAATTATTCTGTTTTTGATTCATAATGCCCGTGATTCCAATCTGTTTGGATGCTCACAAAATTGGTGACAAAATTGTTGGTTTCTACAAATGGGTACGTAATCAAATAAATGCTGTCGACTTATTATTACCACTATGGGCTTAACTGCCCGTTTCAACTCAATTTGGGCCGGCCCATCTTCTTAAACCTCGCCCTATATTCTAGGCCCAGCCCACATATGGAGGAAAATAAATAGAGTTTCTTATTCTTTGGATGATTGTTATAATACAGAACGAAGGTAAGGAGAAGGCGGCGGCAGCAGAAGAGACCCCACCGGAGCCGCCACCCTCCGATGAGGTATCAGACAAGACAACGGTGGTGGAAACTCCATGTGAGACAAAGAATGACAATAGCCCAACAAATTGGGAAGCAGAGAAAGAATTTCATTTCGGTATTTATTTAGTTTGATATATCTGTTTTGTTGAGTCCTGTCTCTCGAATGAGGTAGAGAATCTCCGTTTAAATGGAACATAAAAAAAACCGCCACTATTTTTTTTTTTAAATTTTAAATATCATATAGTAAAAAAAAAAAACAAAAGTAATTTAATATCATTTCCATTATTAGTAGTGGAAAACACTTCATAGTGGATCAAAGCCCACCTTCAAAGGATATCATACAATACCCACTAAGCACTATATAATAAATAAGCTAAATTGGGTTAATTTACATATAAATATTTAAGCTTATTTAGTGGAAAATGATATTAAATATATGCTTTAACATATGGTAGTATTTTATTTTAGACACCTTTATGCATTGGAACATCTTTTAAAATATAATTATTTTTGGGATAACATATTTAATTTCAAATTATATCACTAATGTCTTTCTTTAATCTTACTATTATATTATAAGTTTAGTTTTTAAAATGTTTTTATTTATATGACACAACTTTTTAATAATTATTTGAGATATCTTTGCCAAGTGCATCGTAAGTCTAATTTTCTTTAAAAATTCAAGAAAATTAATTGGGTAAGTTTATAAAGACGTTCATAAGATCATATTAGAAAAGACACAAACCTTATGTAGTAGTATTAATTGATAGAAAATGGAATTGTATACTAACCCTAAGTACCGAGTGTAGTTGTGTGAACTTGAGCCGAAGAGAAAATAAGACTTTTTGTTAGGCAAGGTCACATCAATAGTGGATGATTGTAATATTTTATTCAAACTACTTTAACATTTAGTGTATACTAATATGCACGCGTGTGTAAAACGACCTGACCTGTCTCGAGGACCCACGCGTGTTCTAGCCTTCCTACATGTGTGTGACACGTCTCGTAATTTGGCTCGACTAGGCTTGACTTTGACTTATTTGACTCGAGTCTCAAACCTAAAACCTAAAATGTTGTTGGAAGTTGTTTGGTAGCTTCCACCTCTCACCTTCCATTCAAATTCGATGTGGGTCTTATGATTTTATTAATTTCTTGGCACTTATGTTGCTGAATAAACATAAACAAGTAGGAATTAAAGAGAAAATAAAGGCTCAAACATTATTCTTGGCCGCCAAAGTTGAGCTTGATCCTTTACTTTATCAAAGCAATGTGTTACAAAATATTCAACAAATTCATGGCCAATTCTCATAGGCTTTGATATATTATAATGATCAAAACTAGATCTTTGCTATCTATGGCTGAGGAGGTGACATCATTTCTGGCACCTCTCTCGGTCGATTGCTATCTATATCAATAACGTTGAGCTCTTTGCTTTTGCCCCATAACACGCTATAAAGGCTCACCACTAGCAACATGGCACCAATAAGGCTGCAATGTTGAAAACAACAAGACATGGTTTTAAAAATTTTAAAAATTTCCGAAATGGATGAACTTTTTGTGTTTGAATAATGAACCAAACCTTCCCAAATTGATGCCTTCGCCCAATAGCAATTCAGAGCCAATGATGGTAGCAATGACATTCAAAGGGGTGGTCATGGCTTGAAAAACGGGACCTTTTTCTTTGATAACCCAACATTGCAAGAAATTTGAAACAACGGTGACAAGAATTCCCTGTTGTTAAGACGAGAAAAATTATTATAAAGAATTGAAAAAGGGGTTTGTAATAAAAAAAAAAAAAGGGTCATGAGTGTGTTCTTACGCAGTAAAGAACAGCTAGAAGCCTAATGTTCCAACCCAACTTCCACTCAGAAGGGTTTCTTTCCATGGCAATGGCTATCACAAATGACTGTGCTGTGCTTAGTATTGTCTGGTAGCTTATGAACTCCAGTGGTGATGGGTATGTCTTCAGAAAATGTGCCTGTGTTTTTCAATCAAAATCATTACTTGTTCAATCTAATTACGTGGATCCTTTCAAATTGTGACGTTTTTTTTTTAATAATTAGATTTAGAAAAACCACTATATATATATATATATTTTTTTTTTTGTCTTTTTTTAATTCAAAGACTTTCTATTAAATTAGGAAGAATAAATGTGAGATCCTACCTAGATTGGAGAAAGGAAATAGTGTTAAGGAGGATGTTGGACACTGTAGAGGTGGATTGTGAGATCCTCGATTGGAGAGAGGAGCTAGGGACAATGAGGACGTTGTACCCTGTAGGGGCGGATTGTGAGATCCCACATCGATTAAAGAGAGGAACTAGTGCTAGTGAGGACGCTGGACCCTGAAGGGGTAGATTGTGAGATCACATATCGATTAGAGAAAGGACATTGTGCTCTGTAGGGCTCTATAGGGACGGATTTGTGAGATCCCACATCAATTTGAGAGATAAACTATGCCAACGATGACCCTGGGCCATGTAGGGGTGGATTATGAGATTCCACATCGATTGGGGAAGGGAACAAAACGTTTTTTATAAGGGCATGGAGACGTCTTCTTATTAGACATGTTTGAAGGAAAATCTAAAAAGGAAGAAATCTCTTATGTTCCCTTCTTCTTTTCTCGTTCAAAAAGGAATTTTTCCACCTGTGCGGGGCAAGTTAAATAAACATTTCTAGTATTTAATGGAAAAAAAAGACAACCGTCTATTGAAAAAGCACATGTTGGATAGATTATAAGTTTAAATTATGTATCTAATATAAAAGAGAACGGAGTATTTGAGTATCGAACCTGAAGAACGAACCACAAACCCCAAGAAATGCTGGAGAGGAAGAGAAGAAAACAGCCAATGATCCATGTTTTTGTGGAAGAGATATGAGGTTTGTGGGTTTGGGATTTGTGAAATTGAAAAAGATGATGATTGATGAGTGGCTTCAAATAAGGACCTTTGTAGAATGCAAGTGTGATCACTCCCCCAATGCAAACTAATATTCCAAAAGCTTTTGCCATTCCAGCCACTGTTCTCAACCTCACTTTCTCCATCCTATCATTAAAGTTCACACCAAAAAAGGACCAATTTTTAGTTGAGTTTAGAGCAAAAAAAACAAAACCCAGAATTTTAATTCCTTAAAAACATCAAATCTTCCATCTTTTTCGTCTCAAACTTCAAGAACAAACGTGAATTCTTTACCTTAATAAAACTGCAAACAGAAACGTTGTCACTGGGAGACAATTAAACGCAGCAGCTCCCAAATTTGCTGATGTATAATCAACCGCCACACCGTATGCATTGAATCCAATCGTCATCCTGAATTGGAAAAACATCCACCAAAACATAAAATTTAAAAACCCGTTACTTAGCGTGTCAGCTCACAATGAAGAGGTTTCTGCACCCTTAGAAGAAATGTTTCATTCTCCTCTCCATCGAACCTAGGTAGGATCTTACAATTCACTCCTAGAGAGGTTTCCACACAGATATGCTTTGTGACGTGGAACCTCACGAAAACATACCCAATTAAGGAAATGGCAAAAATCTTGAAGAAATTCCTGAGAGAAAGCGGGCGGGGCTCTTTTCTGGGAAAAAGAAACAAAAAAAAGGAAAAAAAGAGGTTAAAAAAAACATAAAGGATTATGAAGGAATCAAAGAAAGAGAATGAAACCTTTTCAAAAACATGATGAGAGGGAGGTAAAAAACAGCACCAGCAGCTTGCCTATAGAACACAAACACAAAGCTGTTCATCCCAGAAGCAAACGCCGCCTTTGAAAGAAGACTCATCCCAGCTAGAAGAATCTGTGTCAAAACCGCAACAAAATATGGTTTTTTGGAACCCATTTTCAGAAATCTTAAGGAAGAAGAAACCAAATTTAAAAGTGGAGAGAAAATGAGGTGAACTGAGTGTGTTGATGTGAAGTTGAAACCATTTAAACACAAATTGAAGGACAAACAGACAAACACTGTTGACCTCAAAAAGCTTCATTAAATTTCGGTCAAGCTCCCCCTATGCCTTTTTTTCTCCTACCCAACTTCCATGATATTCACGAATAATAATATGATCCTTTGGCAGCTCAACCTTGGAATAATTAGAAAGTATTCATAAAACTTTTAATCTTAATCTTAAATTAAAATTTTGATCCTGACTTTATAAGTAAAATCTAATGAACAATATGGTGTCGTAATTTCTAACATGATATCAAAGTCATGTCGTTGTGAGTTATGAAAAAGCAATGGACTATGAATAATAGAAGCGTTTTAGTCCAATCATGGCCTTAGGGAAGGGACAATTATTAGGTGTATTGAGGACATCATGTTTCTGACGTAGTCCTTCCTTTCTTTCTTTTCTCCTTTTTTTAAAAAAGTCCTTTTAAAATTTACTAATAAAAAAAATTCCTAAAAACTATTAGAAATAAAATAGGATTGAGAAAAATAGTAAAACAGTTAGAAAATAAAGGAGAGACTAAATAAAGATTAATAAGAACTTCAAATTTAATTTAATTACAAAGAAAAAAAAATAGTAAAAAGAACATAATAATACTTCTATTTTAAATTCCCCTAAAAAATTAAAATGTTTTCTTAATATATATATATATATATATATATAAACAATAATTAAAGGAGAGATTTTTCTCTATTACCTAAATGAGATTCAAGTCGTCCATTCCTGACCAAACCTAAATGTTTATCAGTCTGTCATACTCACTATATATATATATTGCAGAAAATGAATATATTTTATATTTATATTATATAGTTGATATTTATTTTTTTTACGTACTTAGTAAATAAATAAATATATGTTTTTTTTTAAGTCCCGAAAGACTAAATTAAATTTTTTTTTAGAGATTATCTTCAAAAGGAGTATTTTAAAATTTATATTGAAAGATGAGTATTAAATAATATATATAGGTAAAAAAAAAAATTGGATGAAAAACTCAATTCCAACCAAAATAAATAAAAATTTTGTTTGCATAGGGATTAAAAAATCAAATAATTATAAAAATACGACCAAATTTAAAAAAAAAAATATAATAATTTTTATTTTGGAGGAAGTTTATATGGGTCGATCAATTAAATTTTAGAGACGGTCTATATGTTCAGTGTCACGGTCATGCTCGTCCAGGGCGTGTTGCCCATGGCCGCATGCCCATGACAAGCCAAACCCTTGTCATGTCTTTTCATTCTAGTGTTTTTACTTCTATAGTTCTAGGGCGTATGACGCCTCAACAATATCATGTCTAGGCCTGCCAGACATGAAATGTCTCAAAATGTACTATAGGGGGATATGACTGGTTGTCAACTTCTCCCTACCCAAGGTTATGGTTGTCAACTTCTCCCTACCCAAGGTTATATATGCTAAGCCGTTGTTATCTCTCTCTTGCTTGCTTATATAACGTCTCTTTCTAAAATCTCTCTTTCTAAAATCTTTCTCTACCCTCGTTTTCCAAAACCTTCTTTTAAAACCGAGGCTAGAGGCTCGATCATACGTCGCTTGGCCGTAGGCGACGCAAGTACGAATTGGCTTAGCTCACTTGTCGTTGGAAAGTGAGTGCCGCACAATCGCTAGTCCGCTGCCTTTAAGAGTGCGATTGTGTCATTCAGGTCGTAGATTATATTAAAAATAGGTAAAAGGTAATAAAAAAATAAAAAGAATACATACAAAAATGGGTTCCAATATTCGAGAGGCTATTGTTGACAGTGATTTAGTTAAGCTATTCTTATTCCATATGTCTGAAAGATTGAGATTAATTTAATTTATAACTTTCTAATTTTATGTGGAAGATATATATCGAATATGCTTTTTAAAAAATTTGTAATTTTTTTTAATTAAAGTGGAGAATTTATTCTAATGGAGGGAGTGACACACATTCTCATACCATTTAATTTCAGTGAGGATTAATTTAATTTACACTTTTTTTTTTTTTTGTTCTCATCTTTAATTTAAACAAATAATCATTGCAAGATATTTTCTATGTTAGATATTCGAGTAAAAAAAAAAAAATACATAAATGAACCGATACAATTTGGAGCTCTTTTCTATTTTCTACAATTTCTCTCGGTTGAGATATTCTTCTAGACTCGAACAAGGTGACTGAGTCCCCATTTCTGGCTAAACTCTATCCACGAGCTGACTCTAGAAATTTCATTTCCCACGACGATAACTTTCGACATAATTGAGCTCATTGTGGTGCTTTTGTGTTCGTTAGTGCGACAATTTTGATTGTAACAATTGGTTTTTTTTTTTTCGAGATGCTCAAGTCATGGATAAGTATGAAATTGGAAACGTATATTTCATTAAACAATTTTGTGATAAAATGAAAACTTTTTACAACAAAAGTGAAGGGGTCGATCATTTACAAATATACACCGAAAATATGTTCATGATGACAAAAGACACCTTGGTCGGCAACTTCAAGACCTATCTAAAAAATAGAAGAGTAATATTGTGAGTATAACAATACTCCGTATGAAATCTAATATGTTACGGACACTATCATTCTTGCTAATAGGCCCATAATGTCACCAAGTCAAGGTGGGAGTAGTCCTCGTGATGTTAAGGTACGTAAGGTCATCTCAAGGTATCAAAGCACGATCGTATGAAAATATCTAAAGTCATTTCATGGCGTCTAAGGTTCGATCAAAATCCAATCCAAATGAGAGTGACCCTAAGGATAGTATACTTGAAAAACGCTTACAAGAATCAAAGTTACTACCTATATCAACAAAATCCATTACATTTTTCGGTGGCTCAATCATAAAACTTCAAAAAAATTTCAAAAAAACATGTGAATGAAGAGAAAACATGTTAAAAGAATCATAATTGGTCGAGATAATTCAATAATGATTATATATTTTCCATCATCGATTGATCGATCACTTGTACACTTAACACAGCTCGAGTTTAAATTTTTTATTATCGTGTTAGTTATTTAAAAGGTTTAATATCTCGAAAAAGAAAACCTAATGAATATCATGAAAAAAAAAAAAGCATATAATCACACAATAAATGAGGAAATCGAGTCTTGGATTAGATTATTGAGGAGTTGACTTCAGCTGGAGATGTCAACTCTTCTATCTCTTTCTCTAGTGGAGCTGGTTGACTGCTTGAAGTAGCTGAAAGCTCTTTGTTTTTTCCCCACAAAACACTGTAAAGACTCATCACCAAGAAGCATGCACCTATTATACTGTCAAACCAAATATATATTCTTATATTATTATTATTATTATTATTTTGAAATAGAATTAAAAATAAATAAATAAATAAATAGGTCAAAATTGATCTTAATTACCTTCCTAAGTAAATTCCTTCCGACAAGATTAGTTGGGAACCGATGATTGTTGCTATTAAATTCAACGGCGTTGTCATGGCTTGAAAAACTGGACCCTTCTCTCTGATTACCCAACATTGCCCATTATTTGCAATTCCAATTACCAAAATGCCCTGCATGCAATGTTCATAACTCTTCTTCATATCATAAACACCAAATTAGGAGAGCAACAAAGTGTGTTTTTTTGCTTACACAATAAAGTACAGCAAATAGCCTAACATTCCAGCCCAATTTCCACTCCAAAGGCTCTCTTTCCATAGCTATGGCTACAACAAAGGACTGAGCCATACTCATCACGGTTTGCACGCACATGAACTCCATCAAGTGAGGGTACCCTTTTAAGAACCGAGCCTACGCTTGAATGGTGCACCATTGTTAGAACTAGAAGACAAGACATGAAAGTTTAGAGACTGTACTTGGAGGAGATTTACCTGGAGGACGAACCATATGCCCCAAGAGATACTCGCAACGAGGAGGAAGAAACAGCCGATCATCCATGTGCTTTGGGAGTTAGGAGGGTGGTGAGCTTGGGATTGGGCATGGTGGAATAGTTGGTGAGTGAAAAGTGGCTTCAAGTAGGGGCCTTTGTAGAAAGCAAGAATGGCTGCACCAGCCATGCATACCATTATGCCCACCACCTTTGCAATTCCTCCTGCTGTCTTTAAGTTCACCTTCTCCATTCTATGTACGTAAAATGTATGTCAAACTTATACGTGTATAAAACTTCTTTAAATATAGATTGACGTAATATCAAACGAAAATGTTGAGATCAAACCGATAGACCTAATTTTTTTTTTTTTTCCCTACTACTAAGGAAGAATTATGTGTACACCCGAGTAAAAAAAAGACATATAAATGAACTGAGACCACTTTCAAATAAGAGTGGTCAGGAGGATAGGAAGTTTAAATTTTTTTTTCTGAGATCCAATTAAGTGAGAACAAAACATGTTAGAAAGATTCGTGTTGGTTTATAGAGATAATCTTCACTCCTAAGAAACAAGGAACGTGTGACCATATCGCAAGAAATATAGAAAAATATCGGAATCATCAGATGTCGAATATCCGATATTACGAATGAGTAGAACAAAATGCTTAATTTTCGAAAAGTGGTGTTCAAAAGTTTATAGAAAAATAGAAGGGAAAATAAAGTAAAAGCAATTACTATAAATTTGTCATAAAATATTCAGCATTATTAATATTTAAAATGACCTTAATAAGACGGCGAAGAAGAACGTTGTGACAGGAACACAGTTAAATGCTGCAGCTCCAAGAGTTGCTGACGTGTAATTAATCGCCATTCCATAAGCATCCAATGCAAGAGTAATCCTAAACCCATTAGGTAATAAATAATATTAAGTCATCCTATGTAATAATAATAATAATAATAATAATAATAATAATAATAATAATAATAATAATAATAATACACACCCGATCGATGAAATAACAAAAATCTCGCAGAGTTGCTTAAAAGTCAATGGTCGTTTTTCCTTCCTGAAATATATCAAATAAAAAAGTTGTATTATTCTCGACAACTCTAAAAGCACTTAAAAATGAGTAAATGACACAAAACACATTTATTAGGGAGAAG